GGGCGAGAGTGGAGCTGCCCCCAGGGGAGAGAGGCAGGAGGGAGTGGGCTGTGGTTCTATCACTTACTGAGCTTAGCAGGCTGGCAGACTTTGACCCTCCAGGGCCCCACCCATTTTACAAGAATGCAGCCAGGGGCCAGCATTCCCACAAACCAGCAATCACACACCAGCAGAGGGGGTGTGGCTGGGGGCAGGAGGAAGCTGGGAGCAGTTTGGTTCAAAGCCAGGCTCTGCAGAAAGTACTTCCATGATGGATCACGTGTCTGCCGCATGGAGACACTCACCTCTCAAAGGTCACACGCACGGCCACCAGGGTCAGCGCCAGGGGAAGGGCTGCCAGCAGGTCCCGAGGGTGGGCATAGACCATGCCATCCCGGTCCTCCAGGACCGCCCAAGAGTTGTTGGGCGGCAGCCATAACTTGTCCTGCCATAGCCACTCGTTCAGGCTGGACAACATCCTGTGGACACATGTTCAGGTTAACGGGGAGACTTGCATGTGGGGAGGGCTGAGGGGGAGGCACGGACACTGAGTACTCTTCCGCACTGCGGTACAATGGATCGCTTTTATATAGTCTTTCCAGCCATGGTCTTGTAACTCCCATCAAATGATTGGGTAGGGATATGTCAGTTTGTCCTACTGTGGGGGCTTGCGTGTTGCTGTGATGCTGGAAGCTAAGCCACCGGTATTCAAATACAAGCAGGGTCACCCACGGCGGACAGGTTTCAGCGGAGCTTCCAGACTAAGATAGACTAGGAGGAAGGACCTGGCGGTCTACTTCTAAAAAAAATCAGCCAGTGAAAACCTTATGAATAGCAGCGGAACATTATCTGATACAGTGCCGGAAGATGAGCCCCTCGGGTTGGAAGGCACTCAAAATACGACTGGGGAAGAGCTGCCTCCTCAAAGTAGAGTAGACCTTAACGATGAGGATGGAGTCAAGTTTTTGGGACCTTCATTTGCTGATGTGGTACGACTCAAAATGAGAAGAAAGCTGCAAATATCCATTAAAATAGGAATGTGGAGTGTACGAAGTGTGAATCTAGGAAAGCTGGAAACTGTCAAAAATGAAATGGAATGCATAATCATCAATATCCCAGGCATTGGTGAACTGAAATGGACTAGTACTGGCCGTTCTGAATCAGACAATCATATGGTCTACTACGCTTGTAATGACAAATTGAAGAGGAATGGTGTTGCATTCATTGTCAAAAAGAACATTTCAAGATCAATCCTGAAGTGCAACGCTGTCAGTGATACGATAATATCCATTCGCCTACAAGGAACACCAGTTAATACGACTATTATTCAAATTTACACACCAACCACAAAGGCCAAAGATGAAGAAATTGTAGATTTTTACCAACTTCTGCAGTCTGAAATTGATTGAACACGCAATCAGGATGCATAGATCATTACTGGTGATTG